TCCAGGGGGCTGTGCTTGGACGACAGTCGCCCGCGAGTCATGCTGAGAGGCTTCACTTCTTCCAAGATATACTTCTCTTGGTCCAGTGTCGCCTTCTGGGAGCTGATTGCGATACGTCTGCCCGCGAACTCCACGGGCCCAGCATGACAGTCACGGTACTTGCCAAATTTAAAACGAGTCTCCAGAAGTCCTCTGAGCCAGGTCCGGGTAGCCTGGGTGCTGCTGCCTATGAAGAAGTCATCGACCTCTAGGAGGATCATGTTGAGAATCTCGCCACGGGATCCGTACCGGACCCACCAGCACGGCTCCAACAACGACTTCTGAAAACCATGCTGACCCAGGAACTTGACTACTGTGCGTCTCCACGCCACGGGCGCGTCATCAAGACCATAAACATTAACACGCAACAATATCAGAGAACCTCGCGGTAGCTCGATGCCCTCGCAGGGCTCGACGTACACGAGACCCTGGGACCTGGTCATGGGGTCGGACTGGCAGAACGCGTTCTTGACATCCGCGATGTCCGCCCAGAGGCCCAAATTCATGAGCACCCGGGTGAACATCATGATGCTTGAAGTTTGGGGCGCGGGGGCATAAACCTGGAGCGAACCTGAGTCTGGGTCTCGGTGCCCGTGGACGCACCATCTGGATTTGGCCGCGGGCTCCGATCCGGCGCCTTCTACAGGCTTCCAGCGTCGGACCATCCGGCTCGTGATGATGCGGTCTGGCTGAGACTTCCTCACAATGCCCGCCTTGGCGGGAGGGATGACTTCGACAGCTCCGGTGCCCATCATGGCTTCCCACTCCTTGCGGTCGGACAGGACAAACCGCTCTCTTTCCGAGGGGGTCAGGTTCTTCAAACTAACTTCCCCCCCCTCGACTGGCTGCCATAGCCCAGCCGCTCGACTCCACGAGGCCACACCACTCACTCACTGGCCAGGCCCGGACACCATCATCCTCATCATCACCACCACCACCACCGGAGGAGGAGGGGGAGGTGAGGAAGAAGTCCTCGGTCGCAGGGGACGGCCCGTCCTCCAGGCGCTCCCGGGGGGAGCGACTCCGGGGCCTGTGCCTCCCCGCGTCGAAGTCGCGGACGAGGTCCGCCACGGACTGCCGGGGCTCGACGCCGGGCGCGATAGGCCCACGCTCGTCATGCCCGGTCTCTAAGCCCGGCGGGGGAGGGCGAGGAGGAGGGGCCTCGGGAGGAGAGGGAGCAGAGGAGGAAGGGTCCAGAAGGGGCCCCGGGACCCTGGCCGGTTCTTCGATCCGCGCTCTCTTGACTTCGGGCGGACTCGAGATCGCCCGAGTGGACGAACCAGCACTGGCATCCTGCCGGGCCCGCAGAATGCATCCTGGCACGTCGTTCGGCTGCACCAGCCGTCTGGGCCGAGGAGGCTGGCTGGAGGGACGCCCGCCCTCTGGTCTCTCCTCAGCAGGCCGAGCTGAGGGCTCCTCGGAGGGAAGAGGAGGAGGAGAGGTAGGAGCCGGAAGAGGAGCAGTGGGAGACGGGTCAGGAGAGGTGGAAGAAGGTCCCCCGGGATCCCCGTCGGCACCAGCTCCCGGAGTGGGCTGCCGAGAGAGAGCGGGAGGGGTCAGCTCGGGCGAGCCCCCCGGACCGCTTCCCGGGTCACTCCCGGTGTCCTCGGCGATAGAGGGCATCCTGGTCCTCTCAGTCCCGGCCCTGGCCTCCACGGATCCGGCGTCCGAGCTGGGAGGAGGAGGAGGAGGAGGAGGAGGAGGACCCAGACGTCCCGGACCGACCGCCCGCCCCACCACGGAGGGGGGAGGAGGAGGAGGACCATCTTCCGCCGGCTCCCTCGGCTCGGGACTGGGCCCTGGGACCCTCGGCGCCGTGTCACTACCCACTCTCAGGGGTTCGTCCCACGCGTCGTCTGGGGGGGGGCCCTCTCTTTGGACGTCCACGGCTGTCGCTCTGCGCGCGTGGACTTGCCTCAGAAGGTCTCTCCACTGAGGGCTCTGGGCGAGCTGCAGGCCGTACTCTTCCTCGGGGCTGGCGAGTCTAACTTGCTCTATAGAGCATTTCCAGAGGCGAGCCCGCACTGCGACCCATACTGTGCCTCCTTCGCACAGAACGACCACGCCCGGACCCGCCCATCCGTCTCTGCGACGCCCCAGAGCGTCGGCCCGCGACGTAGTGCGGCCCATATGCCTCCAGACGAACACCCATTGTCCCGGCGCAAACTCCTTGAAGCCTGGGGCCCGGGCTCGCGCGGCGCGGCTGATCTTCTCTCGCGCAGTGACCTCCAGGGCCAGTCGCCTGGCATTCGCCCTCACCTCCTGGGCTCGGGCAAACTCTGCGCCCGCTGCGTCTTGCTCTGAGGCGGGGCGGACCATGTCCTGCCACCCTGGGACCGCACGAGCATCGCCCGAGAGAATGTCGTGGGGTAACCTAGGGTTTTGCCCGAAAACCAGCTGGAGGGGGCTGAAGCCACCGCGGTGCCAGAAACGATTTTTATGGGCCACGAGCTCGTGGAAGAGGTCGTCTAATTCTTCAACACTGCTGGGGATGGAGGCGCCGGCGTCTAGCTCGGCCTTGACCCCGTCTTTAACCCACCCCCCGTGCCGTTCTACGCGACCGTTCTGCCATGGGCTGTCGGCGTCGCACACATGGTGCATGATCCCCCATTGCTCCGTGCCCCTAGCGAAAC